GATTCCTCTCTGAAGAACTCCTACCGGCTAGGAGTCTCCAACCTCCAAGAGTAACAAGATTAAGGGGGGAAATCTCAAGACTTGCTGAACTCATGATTTGCTTTGGTCACAAGAAGGAGAGGGAGGATATCTTTCCTTTGATGGAACAACTCTCAAGAACTCTCACAGATTGTCTCGGGATCTAAGATTTAGTGTGGGAGGGTATGAAAGGGAGCACTTGTGTTCTTGGGGAGGATATGAGTATAGTGGTAAACCCTTCCTCGCAGCGGGAGAGGGGTATTTATAGTTGCTAATAAAAGTGACCATTTGGTGCACAAAGTGACCTGCCCCAGATGATACAGATACCTTCCCAGATGATCCATGCATTGCTTGGGTGGTCCGGCTAGGAATCCGGATGATCTGGATGGGTCAACACGCTCAACCCACGGGGACACGTCCGGGAGGGACCCTAGAAGCAATTTGAACTGGCAGCTAAACAAGGGACAACCTGGACGTCCGAGAAGGAATCCGTATGATCCTGGTGAAGCTGGATGAACATGCTCTCTGTTTAGGCATCCAGGTAGAGTGTCTGGGGATGTCAAGATGATCCATATGGATACCCGGACGGCCTGGCTACCAATCCAGATGATTTGGCTTCACAGCCAACCTACTGGTGCCTTTTGGTCCTCTAGCCGGATGATTAGGGCATATGTGCGGACGATCCGAGTAATGCCCGGATGATCTAGGGAGCAGTGCGGATGATCCAACCAAAAGATCATGTGGAGAAATTTCCTAATAGTTTTTGAACCACTCCGGGAGAGGGGATTGTCTAAGGCAAATAAGAAGAGGTGTATGTGTAGGAAGATAGTGTCATGAAGATAACTTGAGCAAATCGTGAATGAACCCCTTTGATCCTCTATTAATAGTGCAAGATCCCTATAACTCAAGATTAAATGAAAAATCATGCACTTCTTTTCTCATTATCATCATGCTTGAGTTATATCTCATTTGATGTGTCTATGATCCCTACACAATGATGCTAAAGGGACTAATTTCCTATGTATACACTTAGCAAACGTAATTAATCCCCTATATGTTTTTGGTCATCAACATCAAAATATGATTAAGGGCGTGATTGGACTTTCAAGCGTTGCCCATTATAATTGGATCCCAAGACCAGGATGTATGTGCCCCCTAGGCTTCACCCCAACACCATAGCTCAACAAGATTAGCGACTTGCTGAACATGAACGGAATGGGTTGAAACATGCACAAGTTGAACTCTATTTTAAGCGAGTCCGAAGTTGCGGAATTGAACTAATTGTAGTTGGGGAAAACATGGAGGACTTCATGGCATGGAACTTTACGCGTAATGACCGATTCTCGGATCGCTCGGCCTATCACCTATGCCTGCAGAAAAAATGGAAGCAGGAGCGCTCGGGACCTCATCTTCGTCTGCGGCTCACAAGGGTTGGTTGTCACTTTGGGCGACTGACGTGCCGAACAAAATCAAAGTCCATGCATGGAGGTTGGCGAGGAATGGCCTGCCGTGAGTTCCGAGATGGCATATATGAATATACCGAGGTGTGTACTGTTGTGCATGTGGGAGAGATGAAACAGTTTTACACCACTTTTGGCAGGGGAGACTTGTATGAGATCTCATATTAGGTGAGATCAACCCCCAAAATTCATATTTAGGCATTTCGAAAAAGCATTTTTTTGACAACATTTATCTGGGGTATGTCTACAACTCCATTTTTCCCCCTCAAAACTTGATGTAGATTGAGAGATTCAAAAAAGACAAATCCGAATATGAATAGTGGCAGCTTACGGGTGAATAGTACTTTGGCATTATTCACATCCAATTTTTTATCTTTTTATTTCTATAAATGTAAGTCGAATTACGACCTGCAACTTTTTGAGGTTATACATAATTTTTTTATGTGTGTATGAATTTTTTGTGAATGTTTGAACATGTATTTTAAAAAAATCGATCTCATTGATCTCACTAATGTGAGATCTCACACAAGTCTTCCTCATTTTTCGCACTTCTCAGATGGAATGATGGCCTAAGGCCTTGTAGTATTGCTAAAGGGGGCCCATTTGTTGCACCACCGTGCACACTATCACCTATGCAACTCATTGGATGGTTTCTTGAGTGGCTAGAAAAGTCTAATGAAAATGAGAAGGCGGTTACACTGTTTGGGTTGCCAAGAATGACATAAGAGATGAAAAAAATATTAGTGAACCAGGCCTAATCATGGAAAAAATTGTTTCTACATGGGTGAATGACACTCTGCGACATATGAGGAGTCAGTGGCCAAAGCTAATCTTTTGAAGGTATGATGATGTCTCCCTAAGGAGGGATGGGTCAAGGCGAACATCAACGATGATATGTTCAAGCTTCAAAAGATCAAGGAGGCATGAGCGGTTCTCTAGAACCATCATGGCACAGTCGTGGCCAAAGCGTGTAATTTTTCGCTTTGGTGACTGATCCAGAGCCGACAGAGCTATTGGCCTGTCAAAGGGCGATCAACTTTGCAAGGGAAGTCAAAATTCACTAAGTTAGAGCTAGAATCAAATAATAAGGAGGTGGTAAACAAGATCTCATTGATAAAAAATGACATGTCTCTCTATGGTCCTTTGGTGGGGGAGATCAAACTGTTGCCGCTTCAATCTGTGAAAGAGACCAAGATCATATAGGTAAGACTATCGGCCAACACGGCTGCGCACAAACCTAGCTACAGAAGGTTGTCGTCAAGAATTATGTAAAAAACCTAGTTTATTTTAGCACAAATGGTACTAGGGATGCTTTGAACTCAGATATGCTCGATGCAATGCTATTCAATAGGGAAATGTTATTTGCCGAACCTTCACTAGGCATCCAATCCCGACGAACGTTGTCAAGACCATCAGATATAGATCTTACATTAGCAGTTTTCTCTCAGAACTTCCCTGCACTTTAAACAAACTACAATTCAGTAAAAAAAATTGCTGCTCCAATCTTGCAAAATACCACCCAATCTCATTCAATATCAATACACATAAAATATCATCCAGGGGTTCGTAAATGCCACCCTAGCCGGCGAACATTCTATACATACGGCGGTCATGAATAAACGACAACGTTTCTAGCTAAAAGAATCCAGTGGCTATAATATTCAGAAGTATAGCAAATCCGATGGTAATTTTTTTGGTAAACATTTGGGGCTGAGGCACCGGCCGAACGTTCGGCCGGTTCGCGCACCACGCTGGCCCCAGCGTCCACGAAAACAACCCCCAAGCAAGACACGTGTACGTGGTGGGCCTCGCACAACCGCCCCTTCATATCCTTATCTTTTTTCCTGCCCCTCCTTTTTTCCTTTCTTCTACCTTTAGCGGAGACTCCACGGCCATGATTTTTCTCTCCTTCCCACTGCTCACGAACCACTGCAAGCTCCCCTCGCCGCCGGACACCGTCATTGTTGCCGTTTTGCCACTCCTACTCATCGGCCACCCGTGCCGACCGCGCTCGTCCCTCGGCCGCCCCATGCTTTCTATCATAAGACTGCAGCTCACCCGCCAGCCTATTCCAGCTCGCAACCACCGTGGTTGAAGCATCTCCATGCGTCACCGCCTTCACTCGTCGTCGTCGTCCGCTCGGACCACCATGCCCCCCCTCCTCCCCGCAAAAAAATCTCAGCCAAAAAACCAAAACGCCATTGGTTTGCTGGAAGCAGCAAATACACATGCCGGTTCCAGCAAAAGCATCCATGATTCCAGCAAAACACGTCCCCACCACCGGGCATAGCAAGAACTCTCACCTATCGACACAACAAAAAATCTTGCCGGTTCCAACATTTTTTTGCCAGTTCCAGCAAAAACGAACTCAACGCTGTCCGGTTCCATCACCGGCGAATAGTGGTTGCAACTTTTCTATCGCCCGGTTCCAACAATAAAAATCTCTGGTTGCAGCATTAGAGCTCGTCGTCTTCGCCGCCGGCAGCTGCTAGTTGCAACAAGCACGGACTCTGGTTCCAGCATCTCCAGATTCTGGTTGCAGCTGAAAAACTTCAGGTTGTAGCACCGGCGGCCTCCCTGGCAAGCATCGACAACAAAAGTTGGATCTTGTGTGTTTTTTGGTGTTGTTTTTGCTGCTTGGCATTGGGGATTTGTTTTGCTACAACTAATATTTTTGCTAGAACCGTCTTTCAATTTTGTTGCAATTCAAGAGGATAGTGGTGCCGTCGCCGCCATGATTTTTGCTACATTTAATTTTTGTTGGAACCTTTTTTTCATTTTTGCTACAACTGGCAATCACAAAAGCTACAATCAGCGTTCATTTTTGCTACAATGGCAACAGGATGGCGGCATTGACGGGCTATTTTTTGCTGAAACCAGCACAATTTTTTGATACTATCGACAGACATTTTTGTTGCCACCGGCAAACCCGAAGGAGAGTCCTTTTTCGCGAGCTCGTCGCCGGGGGGTTGCGACCGGCGACCGGTGCTACTCGGAGCTGCGGCCGTCCAACCGGAGCTGCCATTGCTAGTGAGGGAGCTGCAACCGCAGGCGAAAGTTGCTGCATGCGTGGATCTGACAAGGAATACATGAGGCGACGACTGCGAGGCCGGCGACCGTCGGCCATGGATGGCATCTTCACGGAGCTCGACGACCAGTGGGGCCCGTCAACGAGGACATCGCCGGCAGCGAGCGAGGTGGATTTTTTTCCTCACGCGAGATGTGCAAGGGGCGATGCGCGGTGTTGGTTGACTTTTTCTTTTGGTTCTCTGCGGACGCGATGTGAACGGGGAACGAGAACGAAGATTACGCTCTAATCAAAGGGTTGTTAGCTGGCATATCGGACGGCAGCGGGCTCACCGACGCAAATTTGAGCCGGCACGCCGGCGCAGAGCATCGCCCATTTTTTTATAAGGGAAAACCGGTGCTTTCATGATAACCTAGCCCAAAGTACATCAGTCCTTCATTGTTTTCTTTAAAAACGCGGAAGCCCGGTGACAGGAGTAGGCGAAGCAGGGAGCAATGTCGCCATCGACGAAGAAAGAGAGGGCGGCAGAGGCCAGGGCGAGCTCGTCAAAACCGATCGTCGCGGGGGCTCCCCAGGTTCAGCGGCGGAGGGTGAGCGGAGGCGGGTGGACGAGCCGCCGGATATCCTTCTACGCCTCCCGCGTCTACTTCCTGCTCATCATCCTCCAGATCCCGCTCTTCAGGTCAGGAACAATCCTACTATCTTCCCACCAAGAGCCAGTACTGTGGATTTCTCCAACAATTCTCCTAATCTCTCTCGCAATTCGAAGAATAAAAGCATATGGATCACAGTAATTCTGGTTGCTAGCAGCGCTTACCTTTTAAGGGCTAGATCCATTGTTCAGTCATAACTCGATCTCACTCATGTAGTAGTGATCTAAACGCTCTTATATTTCTTTACAGAGGGAGTACTCATATTTGCATCTTTTAGCGGCATCGTACTATGTTTCTGGCTTAATTTTGGTGCATAGTTGTTGTTTCCATGTCTTTTGTTGTGGTTAATCTTACTAATCAAGCATGCTGAACTCTACCGGTAGCAGTGCCTGGAGTGATTGCCATCCGACGTAGGCTGCTGTGTCTAGCTAAGCCACAGTTTGGTTCCCAGCCACAGTTTGCCAAGCCAAAATTTGGCAGCCACAGTTTAGTTGGCATGTGTTTGGTTTTTGCCACACTTTGGCTTGCCACACTTTATTGCCCCTATGGCCCACTTGTTATAGAGACAGAATTTTTGCCAACTTTTGCCAAAGTTTGGCGTCTAATTTCTCAGCCACACTTGTGTGGCTTGCCATACTTGTGTGGGTAGCCACACTTTGGCTTGGCCACACTAGTCTCCAACCAAACAGAGTTATAGGGATGTAGAATAACAACTTACATGTGCATACTTATTGTTCATTCCGGTACCTTGTTGTTTCATACACTGGAAGTGTTTTTGATGAGGTAAAGTTGGGCAGTTTTGCTGTTATTTCAGCAACACTCCCTTGGATTGGGAACTAGAACAGGCTAGTTTCTAAGGTTTTTAGGCTTTATGCCCCAAAATTATGGTCTGCTGATGAAGACTGGAAGAAGGCAACCTTTGTTTTCTTGTAAGTAATGATATTTTGAAATTTGTGCTTATGTTGTGTAGAGCATCAGAATAACTTGTTTGTTAGTTGACCTGAATCCTTTCAGGTTCACCGTAATGCCAACCTTCTTTTTTTTAAGTCTCGCCTTAATCTTATATATTTGAAGCTGGCAACAAGCATTAGTCTTTTACTAGTTTTTGCAGCCCTGGGCCTAATATTAACCTTTTCAACAAATCAGCCATATGTTTCTAAATTTCATAATCTGGAACCAGGTTTATTCTTAAATATCCTGACCTATATACAGTGATAGCTGACGAGTGAACTTCTTTTTACCCCGACGCCGATCCCATGGCCCCTCTCGCTCTCGCGACTCCTACGCCGCCATACACCCATCACTGCGACCTCTCCTAGAGGGTCTTTGGCTAGGTCTATGAGGTATGGATCCAATGTATCGGGTCCCGCTGTCGACGCTGCTGGTGGAGATCCGTCAGCGGAGGCGAATGGAGGAGGAACGTGCAGCCAAGTAGAGGCATCGGCGGGCGATTCCGGCGATTTCACTAGCGATACCGGAGGAGAGTAGGGCTATGGGGGATCCCAGGTGGTTGAGGTGGACTGGATCTTCAAATGGATCGCAGGAGGTGGCGGCGGATTCTTGACAGGCTCATTGAGCCAATTCACAGACCCGTGAGTACCTGCTCTTTTCCCCATATTCTTGGTGATGGGAAGGGAAAAACAAGAAGCCATGTCTTTCACTCCGGCAAGGAGGGTGCAGAATCAGGCGAGAAATGGTTGCTCTCGGTCATACACGGCGGTGCTAGTGGTAGTGGTGGATCATTCGTATCCATCATTGACCTTGGTGACCCAAGAAAGGAAGATTCCGATTATAGTTGGGAAGTGAAGTTTGCCATTCTTTTGTTTTCTAGATACAAGATGGTGCTTGATCGAGATGGTTGGGTGTTACAGCTGTTGGAGAATCGTCGGCTGTTTCTCATTGACGGCGGTGGTCGGAAGTTATGAGAAAAGATGAGGTAATTTGTGAAGGGTTAGAGACATGCTTTCCATGCCATGTTGTCAAATTTGGTGGTACTTGCAGGAAGATAAGATCTGGAACTGAAA